ATAATTGTGATAATAAAGGAGTATGTTTCTTTATCTCTTTGACTTGGATCTCTTTGTCCCTGGAAAACACATTTCCAGGGAAGCAAGCTTTTCTTCTATATGTTCTGTGGATAAACTTGGACAGAACCATTGGCAATCCTGGCATTCAGTTCTCCTAAAATCGTTTTGTCAGTTAAGGGATACTGAAAGATTGTAAATGTAAAAGGCAGCCAAGTTGATACCAGACATCTTAGGGAAATGTTACACACTGGTAAGCAGGATATATTTGTTGTGTTTTACCTAGTGGTCTTTTAAGGTATGTGGATCCAAACAAAACAATTTTTTAGTTCATTTGTCATGTCACCAAAATCAATATGGCTTGCTCACACTTACATTAATGAAAATTACTTTGATTAAATGTTGGAACAGAAAAAAATTTATAGGTTATTGAACTCTTCAGTAATGACCACATCTCCCTATTCTCCTGCGACCTCACATGCCCATTTTGAAGAAGGGGAACCTGATGATCAGAGAAATAGCCTAATCAGTTCAAGATCACAAGTGCATGCCCTCCTAGACCAATATGCTTTTCACCCAGGACAGTAGAATTCAGGAACAGTGAAATAAGAGGTGAGCCTTACTGTCTTGTAACATTTACTGGTGTTACACATAAGTTTGGACTTGAACTTCACCAAGTAATAGAATATGCCTCTTGGTAGTTAAAAGGTAGTAGTTTCTAGGATTTATACCCCTTCCCTGAGTGTTTCCCTCAGCATATCTTTTGACTCAGCACCCTGTCAATAAATACCAAGGGCAAAATTCAGGAGCTAGACAAACTCAGATGTCATAAACTCTCGGTTATTCATCATCCATGTTGGAATATTAAAGACTGCAATGTCTTGCAATGAAGAAGGAATTTAAATGTCTTTCACTAGATATTCCCAAAGTCATATGACCCGTTGTTCATGTAAAACCTGTAAATTGCAAGCAACACATTTTGAGAAATCCTTTAAAAGAGCTATACATTGAAAAGGAATTTAGCTCAAGTTCACATATGATAGAATAAAAGATCTGCAAAGATATTCCTACAGAATGCTTGAATGACAAAACATAATCTCCCACAAAATATTTCTTGTCACTATAGGATATAGTTGTGGGGTGTGGGTGATAGTGAGTGCATGCATACTCAAATGCATGACTTTGGTCTGGCTAATCAGGTGGCTTTAAAAAGTAAGTGTTGAGCTAGCAATCATTAAGCATGATGTTTTGGCCTTTACTGTAGATTTCTGATGTGATATCTCAGCTGGACATCTGTGAACCTGTACTAGTTAATGTGGCTGTTACTACACAACCCCTACCCCCTCTCTAACAAGGCAGGCTTTTATTACTTAGCCAGTTTCTTTGTACACTTGGGACTTCAGCAAAAGTAGTCTGAAGGTGAAGAGGAGAAGAAGACATTCTTCTTGACAATGTCAGGCTGATGACATAATGTCTAAGTGTAGGGGTCACCTCAGGAGAAGCAGTATGTTGGGTAAAAGGGCTTCGTAGTTGCTGAGAGAGGTGTGAGTGGATTGTCTGACATCCTTGAGCAACCCTGTGGGTGGCTAGATGCTGCTATAACAATGACACTTTGGTGTAAATTATAGAAACTATCTTGAGCTACCTTCAAAAAAAAAAAAAAAGAAAACATATTGGGGAGATATTTTAGTATGTGATAGAATTTAAACAACTTAAGAAAGTTATTAAGAAAGCTCAAAAGCACAATCACTTGAAGGATCTTCCCTAGACTCAGTTTCTGAGTCTAAGCTCTAATTTTGAGTCACGTATTTACTCTCGTCTAATCCAGGCACATCTGTTTGTTCAGGAGAGGGTGGCAGTAAGTTGATCTCCAGGAAAATAGTCCTTCTTGCTTTCCCCCTTCTCTGGGATTCAGACGTGATACCTGGTGGCACAGCAGCTGCCTTGTGACCAGGATGTTACAAGCACCAGATGGAAGTTGTGTGGTAGGAATAGAAAGAGCAAAGAAGAAAAGGCCAAGGTCCTTGGATGGTTGAGTTGTCACACTGACTGTAGAATGTACCTTATTTGTTCTTATTTTGAGAAAAGCAATAACCTATTTGTTGAAATCACAGTGCACTGTAATAGATTATTATTACCATGACATGCAAACAAAATCACCCCTGTATTAAAATTGTTTAGTATAAGCATGGACGTTGGGAGCCACTCCTTGTGCAGCAGAGTACTTACCACATCTATCATGGGGGCAAGGACAGGGGGTGGCTCATGAAAATGATAAAATACCTAACAGCGTCTACAATCACCTTGGAATCTTGGACCCTTGAAACCTCACCACTGCTGCAGAACACAGAGATGGAAACCCTCTTTGTGACAGCACACACTTTTCCTGGATGGAATTAATTAATTCATCAACTCATTAATTAATTTTACTAATTGTTACTGATCCCCCTATTATCTGCTACATATTTTTCTGGGTGCTGGCGATAGATTTGCGAAGACAGAGATGATCTTGGCTCTCATTAAGTTAACACTCTAAAGGGAAAATAGACAGTAAACAAGAAAATGAAATAGACAGTTAGATGATGGCAAGTCCAGTACGAAACATGGAGTGGAGTGCTGTGACGGAGTCGTAGGAGGGCATGGGCATGGAAGACTGAAGAAAGCAATACTTGAAATGAAAATTGAATTGCCAAAAGGTGACAGCTGTGCAAGACCTGAGAGGGAACAGCTGGTGCAGAAGCCCTGAGCCAGAAACGAGCATGGCCACTGGAGACATGAATTATTAACAGGCACCCACTGCGTGGTGATTCGGGAGGCCACCCATGCTCATCTCATTGTGACCGTTCCAGCCACTCAGTTCATTGCCATGGTGGTGTATCTCAAGGCTGATGGCAGTGCCACATGTTCCATAGGTGACTTCTCCTGTCATGTGCATTAGGCTGTCAGAGCTCAGGGAGTGGGAGTCTAGGTAATAGACTGTTTATACTGATTGATCAGCCTCTTTCCCTTTAAGAACAGTGCTGTCCTTTCCAGCTGCAGCAGCGACACTCCCCAGGGCTCCTTTACAATGGGGTCAGCCCTATCCTGCAGGGACTGGCAGAACATTCAGCAGGCACACAGTGGCTTCAGTTCTACGCTCCAGACACTCCCTCAAGTTTCAGCTGCCACATATGACATGTCTCCCTGTGGAAAGAACAATGCAGAGAGGCAGGAAGCCCAGGAAGGCCCCCCCCCCCCCGCGCTGCCAGACTGCCATGGCTGGTCATACCCAGCATCATTGTCAAGTGATCCTTATCAGTGAAGCAGTCACTTGCAGTCACGGGGCTCAGAGCTCCTTCAGAGGTCATGCTGTGCTGCATTCTTCCTGTGTCTGACATTACCCAGAATGAAAGTGCTGGAATGCCACCACCCCCACTTTCAGTAGGTGGCCTGCGAAAGCAGTGTCTGCCTAGCTCCAGGAGAGAACCCAGCTCTCTTATCTCTAACAGTTGAACTTGGGGGCACTTGGAACCACTGTCATTATATATCTGGGCTGTTAGATTTTCTCTGGCCTTCACCTTAGGAGGATAAAGTGATCTGTGAGTACCCAAACTACTGTTCTCCTACCTCTGGGACAAAATGAATCACAAAATATCAAATTTGGAAGGGACCCTGGTGATCAATACCCCTCCTCTTACAGATGGAACCGGGAAAACTGACCTGATCAAAATGAATAATGTGACTATAAAGGCTTCACCTGAGAACCGCACGGTGTTTCATAGTTGTTTATGTCTCTTTGGTGTGACGTGCTGCTTTGGCTCCCCAAACAAAGCAAGAAATCTCATGTCAGCACTATGTATGAGCTCTCTGTCCTGCTATCAGGCTCGATGCTTTGATTTTCGCCATCCTATGTGGGAGGCATTCTTTTCCTCTTTTCATAGACAAGATGACTAGGAAAGTGAATGTGTACTTAGTGGGTGAATGGCAGTACTGAACTCAAGTTTAAGCCTTCTGACATTCATTCTGACATCAGCTCTAAGTTCACCTCTACTTTCATTATCTGGGAGTTGAGCATTGTAGAAATCAGCTCAGGTAGGGTAGTATGCATACAGGAGCCCTGGAGCAGGTGTTTTAGGTTGCTAGGCCCTCTAAGAAAAGGATCCTGATTTTTAGTAAACCACCCTCACTTTCATTTGCATGAGAGTTCTTCTCCCTTAGAGCCCCTTAACTCAAGCAGAGGTGCCCTGGCTCCTAATGTAACTCCTAATGTAAGTCATCTCAATAGCTGCCGCACTCATGTTAAATACCACCTCCCCGGGCCTCCCTGGTGGCGCAAGGGGTTAAGCACCACTCTATGAAGCAATCGGCAGCCTCAGCAGCAGGAGTTCGATCCCTGGCTGGCCAGAGAGAAACCCACATGGCACAGCAGACCTCTCCTGTCTTGCCTGCTGCTCCCTTCAACAGTGTATTTTGGTCAGTCTGTCTATTCTGTTTCCCACTCTGTCTCTGGTGAATCCTCTCACCCCCCACATCTCTGGCCTGTACCCCAGCTCTTGTATGTGTAAATAAATAAATCTTTAAAAAAAAATACCACCTCCCAGACAGAGTGTAGTGTGTCCAAGTCCAGGCTTTTAGGAGCCCCTGGGTAGGTCCCAGTCCTGCTTCTACCACTTTATCTCAGTGACCCAAGATATATTAACTTATCTTCTTGTGCCTCAATTTTTTGATCTGTAAATATAGCTAGCAATAGTACCTTCCTGAGACGGTGGTAAAGACTAGTGCTTAGTAAATGATGGCACATCATTGTTGCTGCATTTGCTCTTGGTAAAACTAAAGGAACTCTTCACAGATCTGAGTTTTGCTCAATGGTATAAGAAGAACACGCTCATAGATTATGATACCTGGCAGGTATTCCAGGGTGCGAAGTTTCCAGAAGATACAACAATGTAGTTTACTGCCTGACTCCAGAGAATGATCTTTTCCAGAGCCTCTACTATAGCATTATCTTTTATTTCTGTCAGCAGCATCCCCTCCAATGGCAGAAAGCTTTGACTCACCCACCTGAAAAGCTGAAGTTGACCTGGAAGTCATGCTGAGAGGAGGAGGAAGCGCCTCTTATGTAACTTGAAGAGTATAAAGGATCCAATGATGAAAACCGCTGCCCTGAACTTTTCCAGAGCACAACAAATCTCTGCAGAAGATTCTCCTGTGGTTGCCAAGGTATCATTTATCTTGTTTTTTTTTTCTTAAGAGAGTGTGAAACAGCAAATCTAAAATGGAATTTACTGTGTCAAGGACACGAAAATGGAGTCAAGAGGTCACTCAGGAGGAGAAATCCTGGGTGGAATAGACACTTGCCAACCACAGAAACCATCGTCTGCCTGAAGCATTACTGTTTCTCAGTAGAGAACTTCGGGTGGGGACTTTCCAAACCAGTGTTAGCTTAGCCACCATCTTGTAGAGCCAGCACCTGTCACAATTCTTTTAGAAAACATATGTAACCCCTTTTCCTTCCCCATATAAAACCCCCATGCTGGCTGGACAATTTTGGAACATATTTCAATACCTTATTTCCTGGAATTGAAATGGCTAAGACCCCAAACAACTCTCATTCCCTTCTACAGTTTGTCAATTTGGTAACAGTGGGCTAGAAAAAAAGTTAACGAAACACCCTCTCCTATTAGATGATGTATTTGTGCTTAACAGATACATGAAAATGCCACCATCTAAAACCATACCCCAGATTTGTGTTTGTTTTGTGGTTTCTCAACAATATGCTGACATTAACTTGAACCCTTCCTCTGAATTTGTCTATTTCCTTGTGCAAGGCTAATTCCCTCCTCCCTTTATATGTCTTGCCTGTTTAGCGCCTCTCTCTACTGACCTGTCAGTGCTCAACATTCCATTGCAGAGTGTGAGCTAAATTGGAAAACAGAGCCAAGTGACAAACTGTGCAGCAAACTCTCAGCCTGCACAGAACCAGTGTGCTTTGTGCTATTCCTGACCAGAGCAGATGTGGCCTTGGAGGTTTGTGGAGAACAGTATCTCTCAGGTAAAAATAAATGACTCCTTAGAACTGAAATGATGCAGATCCTTCATTTGCAAACAGATAACCTGGGAGTAATGTGGAAAGAACACTGGATTGGAAATTGGTCAGGATCCTGCTCTGGGTTTCTTCCAGGTCACCCCACCAATAGGCATCTGGTCTCAGGTGAGTCCCTGGGGCTTAAAGTAATTTTTTTTTAATTAACAAAATAGGGAGAGTGAAATAGCAAAATCGTGTCTTCCACCTTGAGTTTTAGCAATGCTAATATTTTTATAAGTTTGCTTAAGACCTAGTTGGGTTCTTTGTGAATTTCTCCCTAATCCCATTCCCCTTCCCTCCCAATCCACCATAGATAAACCCAGTCCTGAATTCACATGTTTTTGTGCTTTTGCTATACACACATTTATCTTTCACTCCAGTCCCCCACCCAAGGAACTTTTAATATTTATACAGTACTTTCTCTGAGAAAGCATTTTTTTTTTTCAAAATGTTTTGTCCACATCCACAAGATACACTTTACATAGAAATGCAACTATATGTGCTATAGTCCTGTGTGGTATGTGCATATGTATGTGGAATAAAAGTTGCGCAAAATAATACCCTAATTTTTATCCAGTTATAATCCAGTTTGATCTGGGTTATTTAAAAAACCAAAAAATATGCTGGTTGCAATTTACTAAAGTGATTCCATGACCCAGTGATAATATTCCCACTAAGAATCTGAAAACACTGTTCTAGGTTTCCCCTGCTACCTAAAAATAGTGTGTTCCTATTTGATATTATTTGGTAGGTTATTTTGGGGATCTAGAAACACTCAAAAAACTGTCCATATAAATTAATGGTAGTAGTATTCCCAGAATCCAAAAATAACCTACCCACATAACCTACCATATACCAAATAGGAACAAAAATGTTTGAATGGTGGGGAAAAACTGTACCTACTGGGTCACAGGTTATAGTATACCCATTTACAGATTGAGGAGTTTATAACTTTGTGAGCTCATTTTTACATTTAAATGGATACTTGTATTTAGCTATATTTGGAAATGGAAAGAGATTTTTTAAGTTATTTAGTGCCTCATATGGTTGGAAATGGAAGTTCTGTTTTAAGCTTTCTGTGCTTCAACTTGTCATCTGCCACCAAAAGCTGAAACAAAGCATAATGCTAGACTTTTTAGTGGTTTTGCAAATTGCTCACTCCTTAGCCCCAGGCTCCTGGGAAGGGCATCCCGTCTTCCAAGGTGTGTTGTGAGTTGGGGATCGAGGGCCCTGGTAGAGAAGGCGACAGAATGAGCTGGCAGAGTTTTGGGCCCTTCACCACAGTCCCTACCCAGGAGCCCACCTTAATATTTATTCATCCTATTTTCATTGGCTATAATTAAGAAAAGGGGAATGCATCATGAAATATGGGTTTAGAGGTTGTGCAAGGCTCTTTCCAGATCTGAATTTAAATAACAATAACTTTTCAGTTTCTGGACCATTTAAAATGAAAGCCAGGATCAAAGAACATGACTTCTTAGGGTGCAGGGCTTTACTTAGGAGTGTTGGTTAACTGAAAGCTAACCTGTTCCTCCTGTCACTGTCAAACCTGAGTTAAACTGGATACATGTAGCGAGTCCTGTAGGGCAAAGAGTTTGGGGTGCTCTTGAACTGGGGCTGCTGTTTGGGGGACTGTCATTCCTATTCTGTCATAAGAGTTTCATCTACATGAGACTGCTTCCAACGAAAAAATGCTTTTGTTTTCATTGTGTTTGTTTATTCTGTGAGTAAGGTCCTAATACAAATTTGGGGGAGATTCTTTTCTGCCCCACAAACTGTTCCACATGCTTACCATAAAGCTCATTTGCTCAGCAGGGTACGCATACACTTAAACCATTATAAGCACAGAGATGAAATTTTATTATCATCTTAATGAAAATATGCAGCTCCTTGTGGGTTTATTTTTGCCTTCCCAAATACAATAAGAGCATAAAAAGCTGGTAGTAACTTGGTAGTAAAGTGACTTCAGGGTGGGCATGTTAATTAATTTATCCTGGATCCCTTTCCAAGTACCCTTGTTTTTTCTCTTGCTTTCTCTACCTCCCTAGGCCTGGATTAGTGCCTGCTCGCAGATTCTAGTCCCTCCCTTTAATTTGTCCCACTTGTATTTCATCTTCCTTAATCACTGTTTTCATCACATCACCCCCATGCTCAGAAACCCTCAAGGGATCTTTACTTCCCACCACATCAAATCGAAATACAGCTGCCTGTTTTCAAGGTTTTTCCTAATCTATTCTTCCCTTGCATCTCCAGCTTTATTTCCTTTGCCAGATGTGGTTTTGGTTTCTGTGGTTTAGAGATAATGAAATTTTTGTGTACAAAAAAAATTTTAAATCTGCATCATTTTTCTTAGGCACAGTTAAGCCCAGTTGCCTTAAACAAAAGCACACATCAGCCCAGATTGCTTTCCTCCCCCACCAGCCAGAGGAGCAAGACCTTGGCGTCCTCTGGGGGCAGCAGGTGGAGAAAAGCAGCTTATTCCCCTTCCTCCCTCTATCCTGAGGGAAGATCATGCACTGAGAATGTGCTTATTTACTGGAGTGGATTGTGAGAAGTGCCTGCATTTTGACAAGACAGGCAGGATGCAAGCAACTCAGAAAGCAAGTATGAAAGATTAAAATTTAAACTGGAAAGAGCTGGCTCAAAAATTTGTGAAAAGGTACAGTCTGTGTAAAGCCAATCTCAGCAGATCACAAAGCCCACCCCGCTTCACCCCTGCAAATGCCAGTGGCATTGGTGAAAAGGATTCAGGAGGAAGCTGAACTTGTGGGAGCAGGCTCATACTACTATGACTATAGTTGATTTTCAACTTTTTGGGTTTGGTTTGCCATTCTCATTTATTTTGTTTGTCTACAACTGTTTTGGTAAGCCATCTACTTGGTAACCATATGATTTGGGGCAAGTTTCTATACCCATAAAGTGGAGGTAGGAATGGTATATAGTATATGGAGTGGTCGTGAGGAGCACGAGATAATCATTTCAAGAGCATGGGATGTGGTCCAAGAGAAAAATATTCACTATTATCCCTATCATAATTATTGTAAATACATATAAGCTGCTCTTTGAGCAGCTGCTAAATTGCACCTTCTCTCATAGTGCCTGCAGGTCAGTTTAGTTTAAAAAAACATTTATTGAATGTTTAATATATGCCGGATACTGATGATAACTATAAATAAAGCATTTACCCTTACCCTTGAGTAGTTTACCTTCTAGTAGGGAAGGCAACCCATAAGATGATTTCAGTTTATGGCTGTGCTAGTATAGTCACCTCTAGCCACACGTGGCTGTTGAGAATTTGAAATGGGAATAGTCTGAATTGAGATGTGGTCTTTGTGTAAAATACACTTTGAATTTTGAAGCGTTGGTAGAGTATCTTGGTTGCTTGGCAGACATGTTAGATTTTAAATTCAGATTTAACCTCGGTGATAAGATAAATTTGTTTTTTCTCATTGGCTCCTATTGACTTGTGAGTTGATTTTTTTAAAAAGGAAATTATGCTAGCTTGCTTTCTCATTATGTAGTGAGTATTTGGATATTAGGCAAATGTGAACAAGTGAAAGGAACATTGTTAGCATAATCTATATAAACAAACACCAATAGCATTTTGCAATGGCATTGAGCTATCTTTTGTGAGCATTTTTTTTAGCTACCTAACTTTAGTCATATAAAAATTTTGTAGCTTATTCAACCAGTTCCCTGTTGTTGGACCCTTGGGTTGGTTTTGGGTTGTTTGTTTTTTGTCTTTATAATCAATGCCTTAATAAACGTCCATGAACCTAAGTTTTATTTATATTTTTTTATTAGGGAAAATTCCCATAAGTGAAATACTAGGATAAAAAATAGGATACTTAAAGTTTTTGAGTGTGCATTTGTCATGTTATCCTCTAGACAAGTTGCAGTAGTTTGTATATATTACCATCAATTGTGAGAGTACTAGTTTCTTTCCATACTTGCATCCATAATCATTTAAAAAGAATCCTTGGTAGTTGGAAGAACAAATGGCATTCCATTGTTTGTTTTTTGCATTTCAATAATTAGTGAGATCAAACATTTTATCATTTTGTGTGTTGCCATTTTAATTTACTTTTTGTAGAATTAACTTGTCATATCCGTTGCTCATTTTTCTTTTAGGGCATTTTTATTTTTCTTAATGGTTTGATGGCTTGTACTAGTTATTTTAATGCAAAGAATGTTTAAATAATGTTCCCAGTTACTTGATTTCATTCCAACTGGAATATGCCTCCTATCAGGTTATTTTTGATTTATAGGAAAGTTATGTGTTACTGAACTGGTGAATTTACTAATCATTTACATTCATTTAAATTAGTTAATTTTGAATCTTATTTTTTGTGTGTGTCTTACTGCATTAGCTAGAAATTATAGAGTAATGATGTGTACCAGTGGTGATGACAGCAACTTGCATCCTTGTTTTGTCCTATTTATGGGAATCCCTTTAAACTGGCTTCTATGCTCCTTTAGTAGGTTCTCCTTGTTGGTTGGGTGCTTCCTTACTCTTTGGTACAAGATGCTCCAGTTTCATCAATGTATGTGTGCCCTTCTCACCCGACTCATGTCCCAACACCTGCACTTCTCCTGGGACCTAGCCATTGAGCCACTGGCTTTTGTACTGACTTGTTCAGGAAGGGAAGTGGGGGATAGGGTGTGAAGAATGAGTAATTTCTTTTCCCTTTGACAATGATTTACCAAATTCTATTAATAGCTTTTTCTTATATTGATTCATCCTTGGACTTTTGCACTGTGCTTTGATTTTTCTACTCTTTTAAGATTTGATAATTTATATTTTGATAACCTCAAAAAGCTTCAGAATGCTAGGAATTTTTAGATATTTCCTTAATTTCATTGTCTTTGATTTCTATGGGGGGGTGGGGGGGAGGTAAATCTTTCTCTTCCCTTTGTTGATTTTTCCAGCACCTTTGATTTTGGAAATGTTACCAGAATTATGGCTGCATTATCAGTGGTGAAAATTATTGATATGTCTCAGAGGCAAAGAATCACAGAATATTTATTTTCCATTGGTAGTATATGCTTCCAGCAAACGTCACCCCATTATTTATAATATCCGAGTTTAGAAAGGAGATTCCTAACATTTCCTGGAATTTCCAAAAGAGAAGAAAAGCAAAAAAAGAATTCAACTAAATGCCCATTTGTTAGCCCTGTTGGGAGGGACCAGCTTTAAAGAATAATTGGTGAATATACTAATACCAATACCACTATCTTTCATCTCTAGCCTGACCTGAAAGAATTTCTTGCATCTCACAAAAAGGTTAATTGAGAGATAAATCTGCTCTGGAAAGAATTTGCATTTTAAGCAGAGATGGAATTTGGGGACGTGCCATGTAGACATCTATCATTTTACAAATTATAATTATTGTCAGTGACCTGAAACCCAGAATAGGTTATGATGATTAAATAATATCCATAGTTTTGCTATTCAGGAATGCCTTCATCTTCCACTCATTATCATTGCCTTGACTGTTAGGCCCAAGGTGCATAAGTTGCTTATATTTATCTGGACAGTTGATCAATTTTGTAGGCAACTATTTTACAGGCATGATTTTCTTGCTCTGACAGATAATGAAGTCTGGATTGCTATCTTTATTTTCTGTCTCACACCAACCCTTTTCACCATTTCTGTTTAAAGAAGATATTACGATGTATGTATGGCGATTCTTCCCAAAAGATCTATGTATTTCTGGGTATACTTATGAGCATATGCTCACAGTACATGTGTACTTCTGGGTATGTTCTTATCTATGCTTGTAATTAGAATTTTCATTTATTCAACAGATTTAGTGAGAGACTTCTATGTGCTGGACACTGTTCAAGATCCTGAAGGTGGTCCTTGTATGAAAATTCAGCAACTGGTATTCCAGAAACCAAAGCCCTGATACTTACTATTTTCTAATTTCTGTTATGTAAAAACTCTCACTGTAGCCATTTTCAGGCTATCCACATTCTGCATTACCTGGCATAGTAAAGGTAGCAGCCTCATCATATCTTGATAATAATTATCAAGAGGACTGTTTTAAAATAAGCTGAAAAAAAGCTGATGATCTACAAGAGGAAAGTGTCTAATATATACCCCCAAGTATGATTGTGTGTTGTATAAAAACATGGAGATGCAGAGGGGTCTGAGATGATAACACTGGATTTAATATGGATACCTCTCAATGATGTGGGATAGAAGAGAAGTCAGGCAACAAAGGTGCGACTTTTAAACTTAATTATAGTTGGAATTTTCATGAGCTACAATTTTTAAAGAGAGAATCTGCACTGCCCATGTTGAACAAGCACAGCTCTCATATGAAACTGGTCAGAGAGTAAACAAATGCACAGTGGATACAAGGCAGTTTTCCTGAATCACCACAGATGGAGTCATTGCTGAATGATTAAGTTACTTGCTGTCAAGAAAACAACAAACTGTTGAAAGAAGGTAAAACAGAATCAAGACACTTGATTAGTGTTCCAGTTACTATATAATAAGCCACCCCAAACAGTAGCTTCAAATGATGACAGTGTTTATTTTGTTCACAGATTTGCAGCTTGAATGAGGCATGGTAGCAACATTTTGTCTCAGTTCTACTTGGCATCAGATGTGGTGACAGGAAGACCCAAGGGTGTATCACCTGAACAACTCCCTCGTATGTCTGGTGATGGCACTCGCTGTTGGTTGAGGCCACCAGGGCACTGGAGCGGGAGCACCAATCTGTGAGCCTTCCGTGGGGTAGAATACAGTGGCTGGATTCTCTAGGCAAGTGTCCCAAGACAGAGCCAAGGAGAAACCATGTCAACTTTTATAACCTAATCTTGGACATTATACCACATCATTCTCTCCATATTCCCTTCGTAAAGGTAGTCACAAAGCATTGCCCCATTCCAAGGAGAGGAGAAGACTCTACCTCTCGACAGCATGTAGCAATTTCTGTAAGTACAGGTTGGGCTGAAAATATTAACATGGTCATTTTTTTGGAAATTGCAGCTTGTTGCAGTAAGTTAAGTCATCTCCCGGTCGACGTCATCTACTCCCCATAGCTGCAAATAAGAAAATAAGAAAAATTAGCCATATCCTCTCAGCTGTGACAACAGTGAGTATTGCAGCGTCACCTTTACTGCAGAGAACATTCATGCATTGTGAAAACTAAATTCTTACATGGGAAGCCATTATTTCCCATGCCTAGCACAGCCATGATTTTTAAATTAATTTTCCTTTTTGTTGTCCAATGTATCTTAACCTATAGGCAGATTGTAGGGATGGTAAAAGGCTGCCTCTGACTCAAAGCTAGTGGGTGGTTTCATTTGTGTTTATCTCTAAACTTCTCAAATGCGAAAAAGCATAAAAAAGATCATGAAAATGAATGTTCTAGTTTGGAATTTCAGATATTTCTCTTCGGTGTATACCAGTGTCCTTACTACCTACCACTCCCTATCTAAGGCTGTGCAGTGTATTGTTTCAGGGTCAGATGCGTCTCTCATTTATTAGGGCTTGAATAAACATGCAGGCATATTTGCGATTTCCTTGGTTTCACAATGGAAACCTATGCATGCATAGGATATGTTAACCACAGATTGTACCAGGTAAATCTGGGTTGCCCATGACTAGCACATAAAAAATTGTCAGAAAACACCTATTAATGGAGTCGTTGGGGTTCATTTCTCTGGACATACCCAGGTTTTTTGCTTCATTTAGGAAGATGAAGTCTTAGAAACTAAGCTCTTTGGGTAATTGCCATGTAAAACGAATGGGAAAAAAAAAAAAACCTTTCATACTCTTTTAAATGGTGGAAAACAGCTCTTAGTCATGGTTGGATAAGTTAGTTGAAAGAATTTCAACAAAATTTTGCTCCAATATATTTTCTTTATAGTGGAAACCACCGTGAGACATTTAAGTCAATGCTTTATTATTCAGAAATTTGTTAAAGCCTTGAAAGTTTTAGCAGTCCTTTTCCTCCCGTTACTATAATGCCAAAATAGAAAAAAAAGTAGACTGACTACTTGTATCTTGTCTGAAATGTACAGCATAAGTGGAATCCAAATCCTGGGTGCCCAGAGGTACATGTTGATTGATATACACTTGTAAGGAACATTTACTGACATCCTCAGCTAATTATGAAAAATCATCAATTAAAGTTAGCCAGGCATGCATTTTTAAGATTCCTATACCCCAAAGGTGCTGACTCACAGACCAAGGGTAAGGCCAAGGATTTATTTTCTTCAAAGATTGGCCTTGTGATTCTGGGTATCAGCCCAGGGTGGACATGGCTGAACTAGTATATTTGCTAACTCTTAAAGCAATTTTTGTGAGCTAAGATGTTTTGCTCTGAGTGAAGCTTTTATAGATCAGGACAGTGCTGATGAATTTGAAATTTTATCTTTGTTACATTTAACAATAGGGCCATAGGTTTACCCTAAACTTTCATATATTGATGCACTTTCTAGAAGGTACAGCTTAATAAAAGAAATGGGGAAAGGAATCTGGTTCATAAATCTTATTTTTTCCCTTTTTTTGTGTTTTGACTGAAATACAGATTATATAATAATAGTAATGATACTTTAGTATTTTTCTTTTAGATCCTCCAGGCCCCTTTAGGTAGAATGCATGAACTGCAAACAATTATGGTTAGAGGTCATGAATGAAGTCACAAAGAATAAAATTTCCATAGGTAGAGAAATAGGTCTCTTAAGCTATCTTTGTTTATTCTTCTCGCTATTATGGGTGATTTCCATTGTCCGCAGAGAGATTCCCCATAATTTCCTGTCCCGCCAGTTCATGTCTCTTAGATAAAATTCTTGCTATTTTCATTCTTTTCTTGAGTATGGTGAGCATCTTTATGATTATTACTTTGAAGTCTTTATCTGGAAACTTACTTATCTCCATTTCCTTAAGGCTTTTTCCCCTGGGATTTTATCTTATTTGGAACATATTCCTCTGTCTCCTCATTCTGCATGACTTTGTGTTTATTTCTATATATTAGCTGAAATCTTAATCTTTCCCACTCTTGATATTTATCGTTTAACCTTGTCCTAGCTCTTTGAACCATCTGTTTGTCTAAGCACCCTGAGTTTTTCTTAAATTTCCAGTTGAAGGTACCAAGATCTCTTTCATTGTTTGAGTGGTGGGACCCAGAAATACAATCCCCCCTAGCCACCAGTCAAGTATGGAAGGGGCACCCCCTCTTTAGGTATGTGTGCACCAGCCAGCCTTGGTGGGGCCTCAGCAGTGTCACACAAGACGAGGGTGGTTCACCCCTGGTGGCTTCAACATGGCCACGATGTATACAGAGGGGGCAGGTAGCGTGCCCCAACTGGTTTGGCAGGACTGCAGCTGTGGCATGGGGTGACTTGTCCTCCACTGCTAGCAGATTGGAGGGATTTCCTTTTTAACAGATCCTCCAGTGTTTCTTTCCCCAGAGAGATTCCCTGTAATTTCCTGCCCCACCAGTTCATGTTTTAAGCTTGGCAAGTAAACCTGTCATGTACAGTCCAGGTACTTTTCATATTGCGGCTTTTGTTTTGGGTCCCAGTTTGAATGAGTCCATGTTTGAGCCTGTAGGAGCAGACTCTCCAATCCCTATTGCCTCATGCATCTCAGTCCAGTTGTTTTTCAAAGCCAGAATTTGGGGAGTTTGTCTCCCTGGTGCAGGTCCCAAATGTTCGGGCGCACACCCTTTGATTCTCAGAGAGAAGCGCCATATTTGCGATATGTTTGCTGATAGTACATCAGCATGCTAGGGTTGGTGTTCCTGGCAAGAAATTGTTTCTGCTTCTCCTCCCCTTCTCAATGTGCTCCTTTATGCTTTGATGTAGAGGTATGTTTAGCTAGTTTTTGCTTCTGTCTCAGAATTGCTTCATATTTGGTTATAGATTTGTCCTGTGGGAAAAGTTCAGGAACTATGTTGCCATCTTATCTTGGTGTTTTCTGTTATACTCTCTCTTAACTTGGTAGATATATATTCAATAGCTCTGTTCTGTTCTTGATTCTCAATGTGTTATCTTGGATTATGTATTGAGACCCTTGAGGGATTAAATGTAGTGCTGATCCTCTAACAGGTGTTTTGCTTTTGCTGCCATCTTAACACTGGGTATATTTCTACTGATTGTCCCCCGGTGCCCATGTCTGAGTTCCTGATACGGTGATCAAGTCAAAGACTGATTAACTGTTAACTGGATTTGCTGTATTTATGGGTTTTCATTTAAAATATGAAGCGCATAGACATGGGTTTTGTCAAAAACTTTAACTTTCGTTAAAGTAGCAATTAGATCCTACTTTAGTTTTTATCAAGAAAGTTCACACTGAGTACTAATAAATCATTAAATATTTAAGAATGCAGGCATATTGGTAGTTTTCAGTTTAGTAGTTTTCAGAAACAAATTTTCTTTGCATGCTTTAAGGACATTTAAAAATGTATTTTTAGCTCCTCAAATTATTTATGTAAAACCTCTCTTTGTTCCAATTACTTTTTAGTTGAGTCTAGAAACACAACCTTAGCTTATTAAATGTAGGGAAGTATTTTAAAGGTTGTCCAGTGCAGCAAAAGCTTTAAATATGGGGCCTTCTCCTAACTTCAGATGTAGAGTTCTGCTTGACAATCAGCCTGATGACTATGGGAAGCTTTGTCAACCTAAATGGCAGAATTCACCCCAATTTAAGTTTTCTAGTAGCCATAGATGAATGAGTTGCTTAACCATTAATCAAGTATAAGAGCTATTTGGGAACCACGTACTGCAGTTCAAGCCTCAGTTCTAGCATCTCAGAGACTTGTGACTAGTCAGGTACTTAACATCTCTGAGTCTTATTGTTCAAATTATTTTAAAAAAATGATCCATGCAAATGAGGTTTGCAATCTAGCATGTGTGACTAGCCTGGATGCTGAGCAAACATGGCTCAATAAAATAGGTATAGTAACCTGCTCTCCAGGAGCTCAGCTCATAAGACATGAGAATGAGTTACCTACCCATTATAGTCAGAAGATATGTTCTGTGATAGGGATCACCTTGGCTTAGACCTGGGTACACTGTGCAGGTAAACCTTTTGGAAAACTTACATCAAAGCTGAGCTAGGAGTAATGACTAGGAGTTGACAGTTAGAAGTAATTAGGAGTCTCTTAACTTTCTTCCCTCTAAAATGGAAACACACCTACCTTGTTGGGTTGTAGTGAGAAATACATGAAATGACTATAACACACTAGCACTCTGCCTGCTAATTCAGTGTTGCCAGAAAACATATATTCAGTATATGTTTATTCAATATATATTCAATAATAGGTACCATTCTAGCCAATGATGATTTAGAAAAGAATCAGATGCCATCCTGGGTCTTACAGGCCAGACATCCAACTCCAGTTCCCTAGACACTGTCTATTCTTTCTCCTGTTCTACTGTATTGTACTTGTCTGTCCGTGCATCTGAGTCTTGATTACCAGTTTAGTGTGACCAGGATTGCTTCTCTCACTCACTGCTGCAGCTTCAATACTTAGCACTTCCAGCTGCCTGTGAACCTTTGCTTTCTGTCTTATCCCCTGCAGCAGGTGCCTGCCATATCCTCTCTCCCTGCCCAGTTTTCAACGATCAGCCCCAGCTTTTATTTGTTGAGAGGTTTTGTCTCAGTGCTGAGGCTCATTCAGCTCCCACACAAGAGAGAAAAAGAGGAAGTGAAGGGGAACTGAGTCCCACCACAGTTGCTGTCAGCAGTGTGGGATACAGTTGGTTGATGGATCAATGCCCCAGTACCTGGTGCCTGGATAGATAACTCTCAGACACGTGTTCTATGCTAGCATAGAGTAAGGCCCCCTTAGGTCAGTTACCCCTAGCAACAACTTGATTGATGATGTGCCTACCTTTAGCTGGTTTCCCTTCCTTATCTTGCTTCCCTTACTACCTTACCAGGGATTCCCCCAACTCCCAAATCAATCATTAACACTTGGATCCATGTTTCAAGGTCTGCTCAGACTGGTCCACTCAGGACCAATTCCCTACCTATACCTAGGGAATTCTGCTTCCTATGAAAAGCTCATCTCCATGATAAGAACAGAAATTCAGATATGCTTGAGCCAGGATGGGAACCATGACTTGGGCTTTGCAGATCATA